CCCAAGGACCTGCACCAGCCCTGCACCAGGCAGGGCCAGGTCTTAGGGGGATCTTTTTCTCTGGCAGGAGCCTGAGGAAGGACAAGAGGTGGAGGCAATGAAAGCAAAAGCTCCGGACCATGCACAGACCCAGGTTTTCTCCATCCTTCCCAGCTCCAGGGACCCAAGCTCCAAGCAGAGCCCACTGGGATGCTCCCAGCACAGCCCTGCCCACGTGCACTGCATCAGGTGCTCCACCAGCTCCACGGGCAGAGGGAAGCCCTTTGCCCACACAGCGCCGGGCACCAACCCTCTGGAGCTGGCTCCAAACTGCTGCCCCTGCCCAGCATCGCTCCGTGAAGGGCTCTCCTCCTCCCTCCTCCCATGCAGGCAGAAGCAGGAGCTGTGCAGCATGCACCAGCACCACCACAGCACCACGTTGACACCACAGAAGAGAGATCCTGTCCCCAGAATGCCTGTCCCCTCCTGAGAGCTGTGTCTGGTGGCAGGGGCAGAAGTCACACACTCAGCTCGGGTACCACGGCACGAGGGGTCTCCAAACACAGCTCCAACTCCCACTGCCCAGACAGGGGCTGGCTGGGAGCTGCTTCCTCCCAGAAATTCTGGCCCATGCACCCACACCAGCACCTCCAGAGGGTCTCCTTTCTGAGCAGAGAGCTCTGCTCCTGTCCTGCCTGCTGCTGTGGCTCTGAGCAGCTCTCTGCCCGGGGTGGGGTGGGGGGATGACCCTGCAGAAGGCAGGAGGAGGCAGGGAGCTTGCACCCAGGGCCACATCCCAACACAGCATCCCCTGCTGCCACTGCCCTGCAGGTGACAGGCTGGGAGAAACCTGGGGAGGTGCCTTCAAAGCTCCAGCCAGGGGAAGAGAAGGAGTAAGCCTCTTGCTGCTGATCTGCAGCTCATGGGATGCCACTGCAGCTCCCTGCACCTCAGCTCCATGGAATCATAGAATCCTTCTGGTTGGAAGACACCTTTAAGATCATCAAGTCCTTCCATTCCCCCAGCCCTGCCAGGTCCCCACTGCCCCGTGTCCCTCAGCACCACATCTCCACAGCTTGGAAACCCCTCCAGGGATGGGGACTCCACCACTGTCCTGGACAGCCTGGGATAGGCCTGAACAGCTCTGGTAGGGAAGAAAGTTTTCCTAAAGTCCAACCTAAACATCCACTGGCACAACTTAAGGCCCTGTACTCTTGTCCTATTGCTTGTTCCTTTAGAGAAGAGACTGACCCCCACCTGGCTCCAAGCTCCTCCAGCCAGGCAGTTTCCAGCCACTCTTCCCCCAGCCTGGCCCATTGCAGGGGGTTGTTGTGACCTGACCCTTAGCCCTGTTCAACCTCATTCCACTGACCTTGGCCTGTTGATCCAGCCCAGCCAGACCCCTCTGTAGAGCCTCCCTATGCTCCAGCAGATCAACACTCCTGCCCAAGTTGGTGTCATCTGCAAACTTACTGAGGGTGCCTCGACCCTCTCATCAAGATCACTGATAAATTTGTTAAACAGAAGATGCCCAAACACTGAGTGCTGTTGACACCACTTGTGACTGGCCACCAATTGGACTTAACTCCATTCCACACCACTCTTTGTAGACCAACCATCCAGCCAATTTTTTATCCAGCAAAGAGCACACCCGTCCAAGCCATGAGCAGCCAGTTTCTCCAAGAGAATGTAGAAAACAGTGTCCAAAGCTGGTGTATCTATGGAAACATTTTCAAATGTCTTGTGGCAGTAGCCAGGCTGAGTTCTAGCTGGGCTTTGGCCCTTCTCGTTTTCTCCCTGCAGAGCCTCACGGAATCTTTGTAGCCCTGGAGAGTTTCCTGCTCCTCCTTCCACAGTCCACAGCCTTCCCTTTTCTTCCCCAGTCCCAGCCAAAGCTCTCAGCTCAGCCAGGCCGGTCTCTTCCCCAAACCCCATCTCACAGCACATGGAGAAGAGCTGCTCCTGCTCCTCAGTGACTTCCCTCTCCAGGAGTGTCCACCCTTGGACTCCTGTGCCCTTCAGCACTGCCTCCCAAGGGACTCTGTCATCCAGCCTCCTGAACAGGCCACAGTCTGCCCTGCAGGAGTCCAGGGTGGCTGTTCTGCTGACCCCTCTCCTTAATTCTCCAAGAACTGAGAACTCTAGCATTTCATGACCACAGTGGCCTCCAACCTTCACATCACCCACAAGTCTTTCACTGCCTGTGAGCAGCAGGTCCAGCAGGGAGCCTTCCCTAGCTGGCTCCCTCACCAGCTGTGCCAGGAAGGTCTCTTCCATGCACTCCAGGAACCTCCTGGACTGTTTCCTCTCTGCTGCGTTGCATTTCCAGCAGACATCTGGGAAGTTGAAGTCCCCTGTGAGAACAAGTGTCAGTGACTGTGAGACTTCTCCCAGCTGCTCCTACAAGATTCTGCCTCTTGATGCCTCCACGACATCTGCCTTGTTGGCCTTCCCCCTGATCTTACCTATAGACACTCAACCCTCCTGCCTTTGCTATCCCCTGGAGATCCAACCCCACCTCCAGAGGGATGGCAGACTTCAGGACCTCACTAGGACACGCTGTCCTGCAGGCAGCCATGTGCCATTCTCAAAGCCACATTTGATCTCCTTCCCTCTTCAAACCCACTTCCAAGCTCTTTCAACGAGCCCGGCCAACTCCTGTGTGAAAATCCTTCTCCCCAGGTTCCAGAGGGTCCAAGCAAGAGGCAGAGCCCAGGGAAGAGCATCAGCCCGTGGTGTGGAGCCTCTTGCTCCAGCTCTGCCCACGGGCTCGGGGCTGGGCAGGGGCAGCTGAAGGGAGCAGGCAGCTCCTCTGCAGGGGCAGAGGGATGGGCATGGGAAGGAACCAAGGTGCCGGGGAGAAAGTTTGGTGCTGTTGCTGGTGTACAGTGGAATACTAATGAAGAGGCGAGTGAGCTCCAGCCTCATCTATCATATTATGTAATGGCTTACTTCTCTGCACTTCATTTATTTGGAGATTGCTCCCAGGCTGGCTCCTCGCCAGCAGCCACCAAATCCAAGTCTACAGAAATCAATCTCGCGCTGACTGATTAAGCCGTGTTTAGAACTAATTGCTCCTTCGTGTGTGGGGAGAATAAATTACGGGCTTTAATTTCACATTTTTAAAATGCAACTGCAGGTATGGGCTAGCCATTAACCCCTTCCTGCATGGCCCCATGCACGGCCAGGGTGGGGACAGGCCGTGGCTGGCAGGGCTCAGGGGACAGCCCGGGGCACGCTGCCTGTCCACACCAACCCTCACCCAGCATTCAGCCAGAGCAAGCTGAGCCCTGGACCAGGCTGCCTGGCAGGGAGAGCTCTCCCTGACTTCCCCAGCACCTCTCCCTTTAGCCACAGGATGACCCAAGCTCCCTTCCATGTCACCGAGCCACAGTGCACGTGGCAGGGGACAGAGCATGTGGCCATCACATTTGCAGAGCCAGAGCCACCGGCCAGCTCAGCTCCGTGGTTCCACCTCACCCCCTGCCCCACATCAGCCAGGGAGCAGGGGATGCCCGAGCAGGGCTTGTGGGGTGATGTCCAGCTCCTGCTGGGCCCCCTGGCAGGATTTGGGATCCCTTATCTAGCCCTGTTCCATCCCTGTCAGTGCTCCCTGGGTCTGCTCAGCCCGGGAGGCAGGAGGTGCTGCAGCCCTCCAGGGCTGGGACCGAGCTGCCACCAAGAGCATGGAGAGAGGGGTTGGGGGGGTTGGGGATGTCATGGGGTGACATTCAGCACGGTACTGATCTCCT